ATGTGTCTCCACAGAATAACAGCTTTCACTCCTTTATCTCTGGCATCAAACGGAAATCTTGCTGTTCGGTTACTCTAATGATTATTTATCCCTTCGTACAACAGACTCTGCTTTATGGCTGTTGTGATGGTAATCTTGAGACAAGAGGCCCGCAGCATGCTGTAGGACAGTGTAGATATCAGACACACACACACACACACACACAGCAGATCATAACAGCCCACAAAGAAACCGAAAATGCGAATGAGATGAGAGAAATACACGAAAAAACAACAACACAGCCGTGAACCGGTTATGTTGTAAGACTCATTCGATGTTCGATGTTCGATGCTCGATGCTCGATGTAAAGTCCTCCCCCTCCCCTCGAGAGGAGAACCACTTGAGTGTGATTGAACTTTTGGCAAAAGGAGGAAAGCAAATCAGCGGACACTCGAAGGGAATACGGATGGAAGATCCCCCAAATGGGGGATAGGGAGGGAGTACTCAAGTTAATTATCGGATGGGGCGCAAACCTTGGAATTGCCATTGTAAAAATTATGTTGGAATTTCATTATTATTTTCGTATTTTGATTACTATTACTGCTGTGTCGTAGAAGGGAGAGCCGAGCCCCATGCCCCATGCCCCATGCTCCATCAACAATTTGGCGGTGTCAACGGTGTCCGCATTTGAATTTCAATGGGCATTAAAGCATAGATTGGAAGCGGAGGGCACCGAAGGGGCAGGGGCGGGGCAGGGAAACCTAAATAAGAACTTCCGCTTTTGTGTGTGTGTGTGTGTGTGTGCGTTGCCATATACGGGAAAACTATGAAAAATAGTGGGACGGAGCTGCGCTTTTGGGATATTACTAGACAAAGGGCCCTGGGCCCTCCAGCGGGAACCCAACCGAACCGAACCGAACGGATCGGAGCCCAAAACAAAGCCACAGTCCAATCGGTATCCCACCTATGTGTATGGTCAGCGGATGGCTACTCGAAATTCATTTAGATACACTTTGCATTCTGAACGGAGTTTGACCAATAAACCTTTGCCGCTCTCTCTCTCTCTCTGTCTCTCTGTCTCCCTCTCTTCCCCGCTGGCACTTATTTGGGGAGAAAACTCCACCACTCGATGGAGGGAAGACGCGCCCGCGCTTCGGTGGTGGATATGTTTTTCGGTTTATAGACAACGGATGGATATATGTATTTCTGCTTTCTGCCTTCTGTTTTCCCAACAAGTGTCCAACCACTGCGTGAGTCTGAGGGGCGGAAGCGGCGCTCGAGACGTGTCGTTTGTCATCTAATTTGCATATTTTCCAAGCTATTTTCTCATTACACTTAAAATGCATTTACATATTTTCCATTTTCCCTTGCCGTTTGACAGGTTGAGGGAGGCGGGGGAGCTGGGGAGTCGTCTTCAAATGATTTAATTGAAAAAACGCAAATTGTTTTCGTTCGGGGAGAAAAGTGTCGAAATAAATTCGAAATTATTCGAGAGGTTTCTTCGGACTTTCGGCTGGGAAAACGTTTCTTAAGTTTCGTTTCGGATTGGGTGGGATTTCGTGTTATGCTCGAAAGCACCTGTGGGTACCTCCTACGAGTATTTTCCCAGGCAATGCCGGGAAATTAGCTGTGGAATTGGGATAGTTTTCGGATACAAGAAGTTTAGGAGACAGCTTCTTTTCTTTGTAGTTTTCTTAATAAAATGTAAAAATATATTCCATCTGCCTCAAACCATGACTGGGCTCTTACCAAGGAGAACCCCTGCACCCATGCCGCATGTTCCAACTATTAATAATATGATATTACCATCTTTGATAAAGACATCATAAAAGAGAGACACTATGATACTCGAACGAGTGCCTGTTTTAAGTACCGAGAGAGCGATCATAAAACTTCATTAATTACATGTTGTCGTCCCAAGTTTTTCGCTTTTGAGCAGACAATGTGGAATACGGGAAAACGGAACGTTTTTTGGCCAGATAATTACAAGGCGCGTGCAGAGGTAAAGAAGAGCAAGGAAAAGGTGCACTTTCCTCTGGGACTTGGGTCTCTGGGTCGGCGGCGCGTGCGGCAAGGCAGCCACAGAGATCTCGTAGCACATTTGACACCATTTGAAGAGCGGGCCATATCGAGAGGCCGCTCGTTTGTCTGCGACCGTGAAGTGGAGAGTGATTAATGGATTGCTCAATAGAACCGAACCACCGATCGATGAACTCCTCCTCTTCTCTGATCGCTGCGCGTGCCCCTCTCGAGTGTCTCTCACAGACTCTGACACCATCCGAGAGTGACAATTCGAATGATTCGATGACTCAAGAGCTGGCTCTAACCAAAATCAGAGGCGAAGCCAAGAGTCTCTCGGTCTCTGTGTATCTGTTTCTGCCTTATACGGTTTGCCGAATGCTGATCTATGCTCGAGACGATCGTGCATAGTGGGCGTTGGGTTAATTAGTGTGGGCGGGTCATTAAAATTCAGACGGCAAATGCTGGGACTTCATCACTCATAAATGCTGGAGTCGCAGTCAGAATTTGTGGCCATTAATTAGGGGCACGCGTGAGAGTATTTCTCTCTCTCTATCTGCGGTCTCTCTGTGGGCTCCAGAGGTCACATGTCACAGCAAGTGCCAGTGGGAGGGAGAGAATCAAGGGAGTTACTCCCAGTCCACTCCACAGGCCACATGCAAGAGTGAGGTCACCTCCTCCGCTCTCCAAGTACCTCTGTCGACCCAACCCCGAGCAGAATATGCCATGATCTCATGTGCTCATCAGCAGCCGGAAGATTCCGTCTCCGCATAGATACAATGTACTCTCGATCGCACACAGCCCGCTCGAACCCGTTCACACTCTCATGTGTACCCGGCACAAACAGAATTGCGTTTTAGTTTCATTTAAACGTTCTAAATATCTGCCTTGTGTTTGTATTTGTTTTGGGCCAAAATGTGTTAAATGTATTATTTTGAAGAGCGTTGTTGACTCTTTATTCATCTTCCTAGAGCTTCCGAGCTGCGAATGAAATAAAAAGTTCTAGTATACAAAAACAGAGGCAACAGAACGAAAACGCAAACAAAAACAGAGCATGAAAGAGATTGTGGGAAAGGTTCAAGAGGAAGAGGAACATATACCACATACATATGTATATGTATGTATGTATGTATCTTTTGGGTTACTATATCAAATCCGAAATCTGCCCGACGTCTGACGTCTGACGTCAAGGTCTCTGAAAAGTCACAGAACTGTCCACCTGAATTGGATCACTTTTGCTTTTGCCTTTGCTTTTGCTTGGGATATCCACTATCTCGTATATCTGGGAATCTCAGGAACTCGTATCTGTACTCGGCCTATCAGCCGAACAAAGAGGGAACTCTATTAAATGAAGCCACGTTAATGAACGGAAATAAATAGAATACTTATTGCATACGAGTATTTATTTACGAGCACAAAAACACAATAAGAGAGGAAATTTGCTCGTTATCTTATCAGTGCCCCAGAGGCGGGAGGGGGGAGTCGAGGGCCCCCACAAACGCAAAAAGTAATATGTACTCGTATAATGGGAATCGAATCCGAATGGAATGTGCAGCAGAAGCCTAGAGGTCGGCTTTCAAATGGAAAACCCGGATAGAATAGGGCCTAAGACTAGTACTTTTCCTAAGAAGCGGCGACGGCAGATGCAAGAACGAAGGAAAGTTGCTGGAAATGCGGCATGGGATGTGTATTTTCCATATCCAATGATTCACAGCCCCCCACCAAGTGAATCCATTTATAGTCCCTCACATATCAGGCTACCGATCAATCAAGCAATCTCTCTGGCAGATCTCTTCGGCCCAGAACCAGTTGACACATTTCCTTAACCCCAACACGTACCGCATAACATCGCGATGTGGCGGACACTTAACACTTAAGACCGAGAGACAGAGAGATCCCAGAGATAAGTTAGGACCGAGACGAGAAAACGCCTCAGCACTTGGCACTTGGCACTTGGCACTTGGCACATCTCTCCCTCTCTCTCTGCCTCTCTGTACCGTTTGACGTCATTAGGTGGCATTGGTTGCAGCGTGTCAATGCTTACCACCTTCATTCCGGCCCTCAGCATTCCACTCCGCCCGACCCTGACCAAGAACCGGGGACCCGCATTCTTGTTTCGGGAATCGATAATTGCACGGTAAGTAAGTGCCAAACACTGGGGGCACTGCCGTTGTCACGGCTACACTGCCACTTTGGGTCTGGAAGTCAATGCCGAACATACACAAATGTGAGTCAGTGTTACAATGGGGCCGCCTTTCCCTTCCGTCTTCTTCTATCAGCAGAAATGGTGTTGCTCCTCCCATCACTTTCGCTCTCTACTCTTTCTTTATCGACCTTTCACTCTTCTTTGCATGGCACTTCGACACCTTTCGATAGAAAACAAAGGGCGAAAGGAAAGGGAAAACATTTTGCAAACTTTTCATGTAATTTTCATGCAAAAAAGCTTCAAAAATAAGACATGATGTTGCCATAACTTTGGCATAATAGACCCCCAGAGTCGGAGTCGAAGTCGGAACTGAGGAAGTCTCAATGGGAAACTGTGTCAGATTGCATTATATTCGCTGTGGCTGTGGCTGTGGCTGGGGCGCGTTACAAAACCACACCAGCGTTTGCCTCACACTTTGACACATGACACGCGATGTGCCACATCCGATCCGAAAGGTTATTTTGGGTATAATGGCAATATGGCAAACGCAGAAGTAAACGCAAAAGTTTGCTCGGACTGTTGCACATTAAATGTTTTAATGGAGCTTGAGCTAGAGCTAGAGCTTGAGGCAAGGTCATTGGCTAACGATTTTCTGCCTCTTTTTTCGACTGATGTAATTAAAGACATATGAAAGTGCAGCAAATGCTTTTGCCTAAACGATCTTTGAGTTATAAGGGACTGATCATTGTTTGAGTGGCGAAATACGAGGTGGTGTGTGGAGGGTCTTCCGGCTCCTGGTGGGACTCCCATGATCTCCCCTGCTGAATGGTCGCTCCACCTCGACACTGTACCTCACCTGATTTACGTTTCTCGGAGCGGTCGGGCACCACCAAGCTCTTGGCCCGCTTCACCCGCAGCGAGCGTCTCCGGATGGAGCGCAGGAAGGCTTCGGGCATCCGGGAGAACCGCTGCGGCGTCTCCGGGGCCTTGGTGCGCTCCGGCAGGAAGAAGTTCTTGACAGCCAGCATGATCGACGAGTTCGTGGCGGTTTTGGGGCAGGTTTCTGTCCTTCTTTTGGGTTTGTCTTTGTTTTCGCTTTGGGGGCGTTGTTGCTTATTTGCTCGTGTTTTTGCGCGTGTTGGCAATGAAATTCGCTGTTGTTTTCGCTATTTTGCAGTGGGCTTTTGCGTTGTTTTGTTTGTTTCTGTCTAGAGTAATCCTTTCTGCCTTCGCGTGCTTTTCTGTCTATTTTCGTATGATGTGTGCACTTATTGGCTTCCTCGGCCACATCTTGGCAACTTGTTTGACTCGGCGAGAGACGATGAGCGGCGTTGGATTTGCATTTTAGCACATCATCTTGTGGTTCGAGTATGACTAACACTTTCGGTCACTTTGCATTCATTTATTTCATCAAAAAACCATTTCGGGGGCTAAGAGAACTGTATTTTTACGAGTGACGGCACCGATTCGTAATTTATTTGCTTATATTGTAATCCACAAAAAATACGCGAAATCATACGCGGCGGCCCTAACACTCGGAAACGGCAACGAAAACACGTCCACGCTGCACGTCCAAATCGACCGCTGTCTGAGGAACGAATGAGTACGAATGAATGTGAATCAACGTTGAATGGGAGAGCGCTAACAGTGTGCTAACAGTGCACTAACAGTGCGCTAACAGTTTGCTAACAGTGTGCCATGTTAAGCGGCTCCACAGAGCAGAGCAGAGCAGAGGCAGCAGCTGTTGCCACGTGCTGTTAGCAGCTGCGGCACGAGGCAGGTAGAAACAAGAGAACTGTCGCTTCCAGCTTGTTGCTGTTGCTCGAAACATAATACTTCTTTCTGCTTCCGTCCACAGCAGCGGAAGCCGTCTACTGACTCTTGGCCGTTTATAGGCAACAAAAAAATGGATGGAAAAGAAATTGCACCAATTCCGTGGGGGAGGAGAAGCAGAGGGGTACTGGCACCCTTCGTTGCAACGCAATTGCTGCCTGATTCAATGTTTTATTAATAAACATTTGCATTAAATTTATTATCAATTAACGAGCACTCCGTCAGAGGCGATAAGCTTTATCGGAGCAGAGAATGCCTTATGGGAGTACTAAACATTCAGTATTATAGAATGACGGCATTAAAGAGCGTATTATTGATTGAAAATTCAAATCTACAAACCATGATAAAGATTGGTTCCAACTTCCAGGAACTTGGACATCGTTTCAGCTAGTATATTTGTGTTTTGAATGCTGTTAAATGTAACAATACAATCGTTTTTTTATATAGCTGATTGATTTGTAGCTGTGAATACCCCTCTATTAATCTCTATAATCTCCATTATGAATCTCTTATAAAAACTCCTTCCGTAGATGTCTTTACATCCCCGAAGCAACCGGTCAAAATGGGTTTACATCGATGCACAGCACACACACACACACACACACACACACATGCGCTGATAAGATTAACAGTAACAGAGCTATGTAAAGGCCAAAGAGCGAACAGAAAAGCAAAATGTTATTCGTTTGGGGGGATGATGGGAAACAGAGAGAGAGAGAGAGAGAGAGAGAGAGAGAGAGAGAGAGAGAGAGAGAGAGAGCAAACATCGTACGGAAATCAAAATGCAATAATAAACATTTTGTTGCTGTTGCCGATGATGATGAGGTTGATTATGAGGATGCTTGGGGGATACTCGTTGAAGACCTGTGCAACTCCAACGTCTCGGCCCCCCGGTGGCCTGCACCAACGGCAAATGCAGACAGACGCCGTTTTGTGGTTACGGTACCCATTGCCGAGGGTATGACTGGTTTCCCCGCTGTTTGCAACGCACAAGCCAAGTGGATATTTCAATTAAACTTGAGAAATTCCATCTGTAATGGGAAGAATGTATTTTCAAGGGTATCCACAGTTCGCAGCCCGACGCTGGTCTTCTTTTTTGTTGGGGTTTCTGTTAGTGGGCCGCTTGGGGCCTGCTGTGTGCTGTCCTTCTGTTGTTGTTGTTATGCGAATTTGCTTCCTATAGAGAGAGAGACAGAGAGAGAGAGGGAGATGGGGAGCTGGGGACTCGAGCATGTGCCCACAATACGAGTACTCGAGCATAGGTATTATCTCGGGCGGCAGAGCAATTTGTCGATTGTTGTTTCATGCAATGTTCGATGAATACAGTTCGAAATTGTCTGTGAAATGAAAGGGGGAACCGCTGGGAGCTGGGAGGATGCTGGGATGTGGCCAATGAAAAGTGGAAGTGAAATGGAATCAAGTTTTAAAAGCAATCAGGTGTGAATACCCCTTGTTTCCGATTTCGCTATACTGGATACTGGAAGCAAAGACCTTTCCCTGGTATGCACTTATTTGTTGGGATTTCGCACCTCGTCAACAACAACCATCGTTTTATCGAACATCTAGGATCCATCACGCGCTAAATAACCTCCCCTTTTATAACCAAATAAACGCTAACCTTTTGTTGAGCAACAAAGTGCAGCTTGCTTTCCGATTACATCTCCCACAATCGCACAATCCCACAATCGCATGGATTGGCCCTAGACGACACGTGAACTGCATTACGAGTGCTGTATGCCTCATAATTGGACACGCTCGCCGACTCACTTATCGGGGCCACACTCCGCACTTTGCGGCAACGAGTGCCAGCGGAAGAAAGGCCGAGAAAAGAGAGGAAGCCAGCCCAATCCGAGACCGAATCGTAATCGGAATCGGAATCCCAAACGGGGACACACTTTGCGACTTAATTAGACGACATCAGTGTCGGACGGCGACATTGAAATACAAAGCAGCCGAGAAAATGTCCAGAATGGGATGGCAGAGGGGCAGATTAGAGGTACAGTCATTGGCGGCACGACATCGCACGCGATTGCAGTGGAAGCTCTGCAAGGGAGTGGGTGGGTGGTGGGTGGGTGGCTGAGACAAACCACCCCGGGGGGAAAACTACACAGGAACAGGAGACGGGAACTGTAATGCCCAGCAGGGTGCGGCTGCTACCGTACACACTCTTTTTTATGGAATTTTAATGGATTTTCTAATCAACCTGCGGCACAAGACGTCGCTGTGGCACACCCCGTCTGGGTGGCAGGATTCCAAGGGCCAGACCTGCCCAGATTTCGCATTGACGCATGTTGCACACGAACCACGAACCCCAGCCCAGCCCAGCCCAGCCCAGCGGAGGGTTGGTTGCACTTGTGGGTGGGTCGCAGGCCGTAGTCCGTGCCCTGCGGCATGAGCGACACTTTCCGTTTCGATTGTCCCAGTTCTGGCGGCCCCTGTTTGTTCCGTATTCCGTATGAAATCATCGAGATACAAGAAACCAAAAAGTTACATTAATGACGTTAATAAAACTGCTGTTTGCTGGGCCTTTAAGGGTTAAAAGTTTTCAATCTGCACCCCCTCCCGCCAGACAGGCCGCGGGCTAATTGTGGCTCGAGGGTGCACTGGTCGCCGTGGCTTTGGGGTGTTCCCGCATCTCGAAGGGCAATACGTTGGCAATTTTAATTGCTGGCAAATGTGTCAGGCAGGGGTGCACATTGGAGGGGGTAAAATATTAATAGGGATTAAAAACTCCTCAAAAGAGGAAAGAGAATTCCAGTTGAGCTTTCCAGAAGAGAATAGAATAGAACCCCCCTTTGCGACTACTTCCCTGATCTTCCCCTGAATACGAGTACGAATACGAGTATGAGTATGTGCAAACAAATTAGGCTTCCCTCGCAGGGCCATGGCTAACCGCGAATCCTGCACCCCGGCACCCCGGCACCCCAGCACCCCAGCACTGACATTCGATACTCTCCTCCACCCACTCGGAGAGCTTGTTGGGCAAACATTGCTGGGCTTATCCGGGTTCATCCTGGATGACTTTAGCACTCGGCGGCCGTCGGAGTGGGAGGAGAGAGGGGGCTGGGCTGTTGGGCTGTTGGACTGTTGGACTGGCCTCAGATACGATTTGTCACAGCTCTGGACAGACGGGAACTTATGACAACCCATTTATTTGATTTAGCCGAGTGCATTTGCTGCCTATTTGATTGTATTTGATATTCAGATTCGTTTGCTTGTGTTTCAATTTCGCAAAAAGAGAGGCAGCCCATAAAAAATACCCACAAACGGGGGGAGGGAACTGCTGCGGCGCGGATGGCTCATTTGAGGAGGAAATAAACTGATGGACGAGCTTTGGTGCTCGTCCATGTGGCATGATTCACGAGTTGTTCCAAAATTTCGAATGAATATCGTCTCTGATGGTAGACCTATTAATAGATTATGTATCTCCAACGAAATGACACACGGATTAGGTACAAATTGCTTGAATACGGATTTACAGGAGGGGATTACAACAGTATTGAAGTTCCGGGGAATCCGTACCCCTTCCAATCCCTTGGAAATACGCAATTAAATTTCTCATCCTTGGGCAGATCTATTCAATGCCCATCAACATCCTCATCCGCAGCTAATTTCGAATTTCGTATTCATAATTTTCATAATTTGCATGGAAAGTCATTTCGGAGTTTTCACCCTTTCCCGACCACCGACCACCGACCCCCTGCCCCCTCCCCTCTCCACCTCTCCACCCATTCACCCATTCACCGTGGATGCAATTACAAGCGAATTACTTCTCACGCCCAAATGCGCTTACAGATTGGCCATGGCCAGGGCCCGGCAGAAGGGATGGGGATGGGGATGGGGAGGGGGCATTCTCTTAAACCCTTGCCCATAATTAATAATTCATAATTTTAGCCGAAATTCGCAATTCCTTCAGGTTTTCTGCCATTTCGAATCGGGAGCAGCGTAATGAAGCGTGAATCGCTTCAAGAAACATTTGCGAAATCCGTGAGGCCCATGAAATTGCCCAAGGAAGGATAGAGGATAGAGGATAGCGGATAGAGGATGCTCCCTCCGATTTTCCTTGCCATAATTTTCCACCGAGAGGTGACATAATTATTAGGGTAAGGCAGGAAGAGGGTCTGGTCTTCATTGCGGAACAAGAAGGATCAAAAAGGGAACAAGAATATGGTGGTCCCGACTGGTCTTCCCATCTGGCATCGCTGTCTGCGGATTTAATCACCGGTGGCTCTTCCGCGGTGGCTCCCCACTGCACTTTTACGCAAATTGAGTTGATTAATTTAAATGTGGAGACTAGGGAGACCCCCATCTGGCGGGGGGGTTGGCTTTGTTGGCCAAAGGGCAAAATTGCAGACGGCAGAAAATCAATAATTTTAATGGCCTTCCCTGCAGAGGGGGACCCCCATCAAATGCAGATACATATACGTGCACACATACATAACTACGAGTATCTGTATATCTGTGTATCTGTGCGGCTGCTTGTTAATGCAAATATGTTAAGTGCCGGGGCCAGTGGGGAGGAGGGGAGGCTGCCGGTGGAGCCAAGTGGAGCGCCGACTCCTGGAGCCCTTATCACAGAAAAGAAGTCAAAACGAGGGGGAACGTTGTGAGTTGCTGCGGACACCGCAACTCTACAGTTATACCCGATACTAAGTCAGTATGGCTTTCCTCCGGCAGACGCCGCTAATATTAAACGACACGACAAAGAGTGCGTGCGAGAGAGACAGAAAATCAGTCT